AGAAATTGGTAAATATAAATGAGTAAACTGAATCCGATAGAAAAATTAAAAAAGTCTGTTAGAGTCGAGTTAATCGATATAGGACGCGATAGAAATTTATGCTAAGATAATTTTCTTATTGCTCTATACCGATGCCATCACGAGCCATCGAAAGTACGAAAGTAGTTCGATTTAACGATTGAAATGCCGCTTCAACATGAAAATATCTTCGGAGCTGAGGCGAGGCAACTGGTGGTCGTTAACTTGGAATATAATACTGTCTACGATCCGTAAAGGACGTGAAAGTTATCACCGGCGCCGCGAAAACTCGCTCAGACTCGCTGGAAATCAAATCGCTTTTACCGGAAGTACCCACGATGATAACGCGCATGAAAAGTGTGCGGAATATGGTAAATATGTCGCGCGTATTATCGACGCTTTTGGTCAACTGGCTATCAAATGAAATTTTTCGAGCGATAAGAAGCTAGGATTTAGATGGATAGATATTAAACAATGATAAATAATCCGATGATAATTGAGGTTTGTTGGTAAATTAAAATTTAAAGAATATACTTGTTGAGCTTAATAAATTTATACATTATATTATTATTTTACATTATATTTATTGTATCATATTAAAAAATAATATGCGATATTTACATGATATTTCTTTTATATAATGTTTATTTTTTGCATTGTTACATATATTTTATTATTACCGTAATGTGTTTATCTCAACATTGCATTTATCACAAATCACAAATTACGTTCAAATCAATATAATCACTTTAGAGAGAGAAACACGCAGAGGTCGCGTGTACAGTACATGTCCATTACTTAGATTCGATAGTAGCCATATATTAGGCGCGCTTATAAATCTCACGCACGTTCGTTACTTCACTCAGGCAAACGACAGTGGCGATGCGATTTTATTCGAGAAACTGGATTAAACGGAGCGAGAAAGTTCCGTTGTCGTCGTCGTCGTCGTTGAAAGTGTCCTGCATTAGCATGCGTGTCTACCTTGGTTCGAAATCGTCCTTGGTCTCAACAAGAAGCATGCGGATCGATTTTCGTTCTGAAGGAATCTCGAAAGAGTACTTCCATTGACCGTCAATGTAGAATTGCATAATATGTTCAATAAAGAATAGGAATCTAAATGCTCACGTAATAAAATTGAATTTGTAGTGAAATAAAATAAAATCATTTCATTATCATTATATATTATTTCTTTATTAAATTTAATATATAATTTTCCAGAAATGTAAAAATGTAAATTTCTTTTTTAATGCTTATATATAAATGTAATTCTATTTACACTTTATATTTTCTTCTTATAAACAGTGAAAAATTATCGCAAACTGAGAATTTTTTCTTTTGGCAAAATTTTCTTCATCAACTCCATATAACTGTTGTAATTGTAATTTTATTTTTCACATTCCATCTTTTTTCTAATTCCTTCCTTCCGATCTTAAGACTTTCCTATATGACGAAATAACTCGTCCACTCGTCGCGAGAAAAGGCGAAATGCGTTGCAAAACCCGTGCAACTTTCTTACGTGACGAATCGTAACAGCTATTGGAAATGTAAACGGATGGTATGAGTGAATTGATATGGCGTGATCCGATTGATCGATGTGCGACCTTTTGCAATATTGCAAAAACTAGCTCTCATGGTGTCTGACTTGGAAAAACCCCGGAAGAAAAAGTAATTTTGTATAAAAATCCAGGGAATATCAATCTTAGAAAATACACCATTCATATATGAATAATGAATACATTGTTTTGCTCATTATCAATTACATCTTCCACAAAATCTTAATTACATGAATTACTCGTGCTTATCGTTACCGAGAAGATCGTAATCAGTAAACAAAGATCGTATCAAAAACTTAACAAATCCTGTTAGTTTCTATATGACGTAAGCACATTTTTACACCTTTCAGGAAATAAAAAGTCTGAATGAGAGCCTACTGAAAATTTCAAGCATTTAATTTATATTTAAAAAAAAATATATATATATATATTTTTTTTTTGTTTATATATATATAAACAAAAAAAATATATATATTATAATATATATATATAACCTGTAAACATATTAATAATCGCAAACAATTTTACAAAATAACAGACAATAAAACAAATTAATTGTGAATTAAAATATAATTGTATAATCAAAAAGTGTGTTGCACAATCGGAAAATATAGAAATTATTTAGGAACAAAAAAGACAACTAGTGTAGGACCTCGATTCTAAGATCGATTTCAATTGCCCATTTTATTGCGTTCCAAGATACCGTTAAAGTGATTTCCAAATGAAGAACATAAATCAATCTCGACACATCAAGGAAACAACGAAATGAAGAAAAACACGAATCGAATTTTGTCTAATTTTGTAACTTTTTCGTGTGCTTGCGTGTTACCATCCGTTAATTTTTTTTTTTTTTTTTTGAAAACTGATAAATAAATTTGCATAAAAAAATCGTGAAGTAAATTTGCAGAGCTCTTTCCATACGGAATATATAGACAGCTGCTCTCGCATACATAACCCGTTTTTGCAGTTAATTATTCGACTTTCGGAGCTAGCATTTCGTTTTTTTTTTACTTCCTTAAAAGGACAGCCCTCATGACTTGCTCATTATTGTCCAAAAATGGAACACACTATATTTCAACAATTTACAAAAAATATATATATCGTATTTATATGTTATGTGTACAAAATATTTAAATTTTAATTTAAAAAAAATATTTAAACAAAAATTAAAACGGATAAAAAAAGTTTAAAAAAAAAATGTTTATTTAGGAAAAGAAAACTAGATTTAAGTATAAAAAGGTGGAATTAAGTAAAAAGGAGAGTTGAATGTAGGTAAATTTCTACTTTCGTGCACGCGATGTTAATGTAAATTCCAAACTTTTACTCCTGTCTTGGCGAGAATAATTATACCAATTGTGACGAGAACATCCATAACATGTACAATGAACACATTACATTTGATCAAAGAGATTTATAATATAAATTTTCACTTATATTTATCGTTATTTAATCACTATATTTAGTTATTTAATCACACAAAATATAATAATTTAACATAATTTGTACTTGACGTATATTCACCAATCTATAAACCAATCTATAATTAACATTTTATGTTTAATAAATAATTATAATAAAGGTTGTAAGTAAGAGAATTAGCACATTTCAACAAATATCGAGTCTAGAGAAATGTTTCAACAGAATCAAATATATCTTCCTTTAAATCCTCAATATTTGTTGAAAGTATCTTCTTATGAAACTAGCATTTTTAAAGATGTTAACTCTCATTAAGAGCTATCATTACTTTCAAAAAAAACCATCTCACCTATGTAAATTGTATATCAATGCGGCAGTGTCCGGAACGCATTAAGAGAGCATAATTGCACGACTGTGTACCCTCTTATAACGGATTTATACGCCGCGCCGGCCGCTTCGGATGAGATCCCGAAAAGGGTGGTGTCTCGGCCGGGATGAGTAACGCGACTGTGAACGCACGACGCACGACCTTCGTATTTACTCCGTTATTTTGTATCGCGCCGCAGACTGCCGTGACCTTACGATTATCATTGTAGCCACGTATCACAGCCGCGTATGTATTAATTATTATTATAGCCATGAGCCGACCGGCATTCTGCAAATCGCGCGACCATGATCGGCACACGCCGACTGCGTACGAAAGCAGTTCGACGAATTTATCGATATGCAAATGCGTCTCCCGCCGCCTTCTCACGTGAGATAATTATAACGCATATTCTTTTTTAATAGAAATATTGCTTATGGAAGTAAAAATCAAACGCGCTTCAATCCTGTGAATAATGACCCAGATCTGAAACTAGTCCGAAAAATTCTCTGAAAGTTCTCTGGAACGTTAATATAAAAGTGTTGACATCTCGAGATAAATCCTGATTTTTTTCTCTTAAGAAATAAGGATTCGGGCTAAGACGATATTTTATGACTCCGGAACAAGCGAGAACTTTTCGACTTCACCTTTCTTTCGCCTTTATCTCAAAGAACGACCGTGGTACGTGAGATCTCGTTTTCTCGCTTTTGGCGCGGAATTTCACGACTTTTAGGAGGAACAAAGCATCTTGAAGATAGCAAGAGCGTTAGTTTTCGCCGTATAATTTGATGCGAAAACCAGCTGGCTCCAAAACTGGTCGCGCGACTGGCGACAGATAACACAGATACGAAAAAAAAAGAGAGAAATACGCCTGTAGAACCGAATTAAGAACCGAAAGTTATTTCAACGATTTCAGGATTCACCAGCGAAAGAACGGAGAAGATATCTTGAGACTCCGAACGACATTTCCAAGAGAAGGGAAAGGAGAATTTATTTCGGTAACAGATATTGCAGCTATAGAGCGGAAAATAAAAGAAACTCTAAGTCACGGTTCTCTGAAATTTCGCTTTTAAAACCTAAAGTGAAATAAATATGTATAAATATGTGTGTGCGTGTGTTGCGTGTGTTTTATATTTCTTTAGTCCTTTTATTTAACTCGAGCTGTTAAAAGTTTGTTCTCCTGGAGATACCGTTATCACTACGACGCTCCTTTTATGCGGCGATTTCCTTCATTCACGAATTTGAACAAGATAGCCGAGGCTGATAAGAATGGAAGTACATCAAATATTCAGCGTGATATTTTGCTTCACAAATCCGCCTCATAATACAGAGAAAGAGGAAGAGAGTGAGAGATAGGGAGACGAACGAGGAGAGTGGGATAGCGTTACAGAGGGAAAGAAAGACAGAAAGTCTCAAAGTGAGAGACGGGAGAAAGAGAGAGAGAGAGAGAGAGAGAGAAAGAGAGAAGACAGAGAAAAGTAGAGAGGTGCACTTCTTCTCGAAGTGTTCGAAGGAGGAGGTGGTAGCCTCCGTAAAAAGGGGGGAGAGGGACCTACGACACGTGACCAATGACTTATATAAAGGTGGCGAACGACAGGGCCCAAACACAGAGTTCTATCTCTCGACGCAGCGGAGGCGGTGTCCTTAAAAGTGCTTATATAGAATTTTTTTCTCGTTAATTTTTATTCGTTTGCCCCCGCGTCACACAGTCGACTTTTTCGTTGAACCATGAGGACGTACTACGTGATAGCCGCCATACTGATCGCCGGTACGTAAATACAGACCAACCATCACCAGGGAGGGGTATAAGGGTGGTGAAGTTAAATGCGGAAGGGCCGATTAAATGCGGAAGATCGCGAGTGAGACGCGATACTCTTCGAACAATAAAAAAAAAAGTGGAGGTTTCATCGTTAGTGTGTGAAACATGCGCGTGTGGTAGAGTAGATGCAGTGCGCCCTACGTGCGTCGAGAGCAGGATATAAATCGGGACCGAGTCCTGCGCCGGAAATCTCGCCGCATCGAAGGATCCGCGGAGATAGTTCTTGGAAACTCTTCCGAAAACGCGATCGCGATCGTTCGATTTATATTCGCGCGGTCACATGTGCAAATTTTTGATTTATGAATGATACGTTTCTCTCTTTTTCTCTCCTTCTTCTTTTTATTCTCTTTAATATAATATATTAACGTAAATCATATTATTCGTTAATTATTAATTTATTATTATTTTATATTTCTATAGTTAAATTTAATATCATTTAAATTAGGGATACTACCAGCGTAATCCCACATTCTTTGTAAAAAAGACAAGCAGAAAGTTTTTAAAAGATATATTTTTAAAAGATTAAAAAATATAAAAGTTATGTGAGAATGTAATTTTTTAATTTAAAATGTAAACTATATTTTTGAATGTGTTAAAATTAAAATTGTCTAATTATAAAAATATTTTTTATTTGCATATATATAGTTATAATATTAAACAGATAATATGTTTATTTTTTGCTTAGATGCTTCTTAAAGGTGCAAGAAATAAAATGCAAATATGCACATATCTAATAACAAAATAATTTAATTAACCGCAATCACGATTGTATCCAATATACTTATTGTATCGCGCGTGTTCTACTCTTCGTAAAATAAAATAAAGAAATATTTTCTGAGATAACTGTATTAATATCTCTCAAAATATTTTAAAAGAATTATTTAAAAAATTCTCTTTTTAATAATTAGATAATATTACGCTCATTTTGAAAAAAATCATTTTATTTCATTAAAATCACATTAAAATCACATTAAAATCACGTTTCAATAAGTTGCTTCTAAAAATGCTAAATTTCTTGACATTGACTTTCTTGCAACCGCGTTAATTAAAAATACCGTAATAATTAAAAATCGCCTCTGGTCTAAAAAATTTTTCACGCTTTCTTGCTATCGCGGCATATAACCTTGGCCCAGATCTTGACCCTCTTTTTCGTTCCTTTCTTGCTAAAGGAAAATTCAAGGATACGATTAATCACGACGGAAATAATTTTAAAACTTCCCTGATAACGTAAACTAATATCATATTCTCCATATATATAATACCGATTTTCCGTAAGTATAATCAACTGTATCAAGAATTTAATGAAAAAAAATTTTTTTAAATGCTAAGAATTTGATATATGTAATTGAGCAAAATCATTGAAAGATAATAAAAAAATATTTATGTTTTCAATATTTAGTTTTATTAGAGAACTGCTATAATATATATGAATTCTACAAATCTGCAAAAAAAATAAATTTCTAATGATTAAGTCGTACAATTATTGAATGAAAAATTATATGCAATCATCAGTGAAAATATGATATTATGAAGAGTATTGAATCTTATATGTTAGGAATTTTTTTTTATAAAACGGACATTCTCTTATTATACTTTATATTAAATGTATGTGATGAAATATTTAATAACTGAAGTGTATAATTAATTATTACGTATTGTATTAGACTCTCCCACGTAAGACACATTTACAATGAAACTTTCTTAGGTAATATCATAGGAAGAGAAAATGAGAGAGAAAGAGAGCATATGGTAATCAAGAAAAAATAACAAGAAATTAAGAAATATTTAAAATCATCTTTAAAAATCTTTTCAAGAAAATTCGAATTTTTTTACACATATTTTGAACATTTTTAAATTTATATTATATTTCTTGGATCTATTTAATATCTTCTACTCTGTCTTCTACTCGTTCAAAATGTTATTAATGAAATAGTATCAATTCTCAATCTAATTATAGAATTTTGATTTTTAAAAATCAAACCTTTTAAATATATATGTAAATTAGTCCTTTATATAACCACCGCGTATTTTAAACAAGTAATTATATAACGAGCTAATGCCGCATATTTTACAAAACGAGTCGAACGAAAACTGGGACGGGGCGAAGGGGGATCCTGTCTGCGGTCCCCTGGCCGACGAATATTTCGAAGTCGCTTTCGGTGGCGGGACCGGTCCCGTGGAAAACGAAAGTGAATACAGCTCCACGCGGACGCATTCGTGTGCGGACTCTCGATACTAGGGCTTGCGACGCGAACCGGGTGAACGGGATGCTGGGAGGGCCCAGTCACGAGCGGCTGCGGCCGGGGCCTGGCCGCGGGCCTAAAGTGAAAGCGCCCGGCGAAAGTTACCGTCCCGCACACAGTCCCTTACATAAGACATTTTAGCTTATTCAGGCGTCATATGCCGCGTACGCGCGCTCGTGCGCGCGCGCACGAAAGAAAGAAAGAGGCGTAATTAGACGCGATTAACATGGACCGGTATGTGCGGTATTTCTCAAAGGGGACCTTATCTATCTACCCCCTGGTTTTACTCTCCCGTAACGATGTTGATATGTTTCCTGCCGCACCCGCCGTTTTTTTCGCGATCGTTGCTGTTAAAAGGGGGATTGGAAAGAGGAAACCGGAATGGAGGCTCTCTCGCGGCCGGCAGTTAATTTTAGCCTGCAATTTCCTACGGAGAACGGTGCTATCGAGCTAAAGGCGGGGTCGCTTTTAACCGCGATCCGCGAGAAACTCGACGTAGCAACCCGCGGATACGAAAGTAGAAGTAGCATTTTTTCTGATTTCCTGGATGGAAATGTAAAGTAGCCTTTTACCGTATCCTTATGTATTTAAGGAAAAATATGTTATGCATCTTCGACTTATTTTCTCTTTCATTTGTGGACGCTGCAAAATCATAATTGTTCTAAAAAGAAATTATAACTGATGTCTTTCGTGAGATCTTTATGAGAAGTACGGTTACGATACAAATCTACAAACACCCTACGATTCGTTTTTTATTAAAATATCGATTAATTAAAATTTAATATAGAGAAGAATCTCGAGAAAATCCGCCGAACTCGACATGCAACCTTTGCTTGATCATTTCAGGGACGAACGCTCAGGAGTCCTTCAAATGCCCGGACGATTTCGGGTTCTATCCTCATCACATATCGTGCGACAAGTATTGGAAATGCGACAACAATGTGGCGGAACTGAAGACGTGCGGCAACGGTCTGGCATTTGACGCCAGCGACAGCAAGTTCCTCACCGAGAACTGCGATTACCTGCACAACGTGGACTGCGGCGAGCGCACGCAGCTCGAACCGCCCATCACCACGCCGCACTGTTCCCGCCTCTACGGCATCTTCCCCGACGAGAAGAAGTGCGACGTCTTCTGGAACTGTTGGAACGGCGAGGCCTCCCGCTACCAGTGCAGCCCCGGACTGGCCTACGACCGTGAGGCCAGGGTGTGCATGTGGGCCGACCAAGTGCCCGAATGCAGAAACGAAGGTATTGATCTCGCTGATCACGAGTCAATTTCAGATGTAAATTGCACGATCAAACTGCCGGATCATTTTATTAACTTCTGAGAATATTAGAACGGTTCATATAAAGAAGAATTCGAACAAGAATGATATTTTGTGATCAAACATATCTAAATCATCAAAGATAATAATTTTTTTATTACATAATAACTGTTCAGAGCTTCTCTATAAAGTTTTATAATCTAAAATTGTCTTTATTACGGAAGACTTTTAAAATTAATTGTTACAATTCCCTTTTTTTTACGTAATCGCGGATACTTCAACGATATTTTTACGCTAGCGTTGACGTCAGATCGAGTATTATAACGTAGACTTGTATGCATTTCTGATTCAGTCACCCAGGAACTCGTCACGGGCGATTTGACGCGGATAATAGGATATACATAAAACCACAGAGTCAATCCCACCTCTCTACTCCAACATATAACTGTCACAAATTCTTCTATTTCCTTTCTACTTGCCTCCTTTCTAAATTAATTTTGTGATTTTTCTTTCCTATAACTACTCTACCTTTTTTATTTAAAAATAAAATAAACTATATTTTTTTCTCTTACTTTATGTACACATTTACTATGAGACGAGTTTACTTTTTTATTGATATTGAATAAGTCTCAAATATATTGTCCTATAATCTCACATGTATATTTTATATTGTCATGTATATTATGTATTTCTCTTTCGTTCGCCAACTCGAGACCGATCAGTATCGCAATTACAAAGAAATACGATGCCTTTCTCTGCCGCTTGTATTACACATTTATTTATTGCACTACGCAGAGGTCGCCGGAGGTTTCACGTGTCCGGCTGCAGGAGAAGTGAGCGGCGCATCCGGCAGCTTCAGCAGACACGCCCATCCGGAGGATTGCAGAAAATACTACATATGCCTTGAGGGCATCGCCAGGGAGTACGGTTGCCCGATCGGCACCGTTTTCAAGATCGGCGACGCCGACGGTAGCGGCGCCTGCGAGGACCCAGAGGATGTCCCCGGATGGTGAGCACCATTTTTAATGTGTTTTTAATTTTATATACGATTTTGTTTCGAAACTCCAGTTGTGCAGGAATGAATAAATTGCGAGAACGACCAAGAAGTTTTGAAAAAATGGCCAAAGAAGATTACAATAAATATATTTTTAAGATCAGAAAAGAGGTAGAAGTATTATTTTAGAATATTAAAATAAAATTACTTAATTCTTATTTAAACAATTTTTCTTTTTTTGTAAATTATTTAATTCATTCCTACACAATTACGGCCGATTTTCGAAACGGGGGAGGCGGGAGGGATATTACTTAGAATATTTCAATTCTAATCTAAGACCACGTAGTCGAATGCGACATAAATGAATAATCCACATGTAGCAGAATTCTTTTACTTCCGATTTCACACGATGATGAATGTTAATGAACATTGATCAAGAATTCAAGGTCTTACCCGTTTAAAAATTATGATTGCTGAAGGGATCATAAAGCTCAATGCAAAAAAAGTCGTCGTAAATTGATTGGTGCAGTAAAAATCTCTCTAAATAGTTAAGAAACGTGTATGTAAAAATTATTTTGTAAACTCTCTAAATCTCTGAATCAGTGAAAAGTCATTGAAGTGGCATACTTTACACTGATATCAGTAAACATAGTCACTGATGCGTTCAGTGACTTTTCACTGATTTAAATTTAGAGAGAAACTTTAAAAAAGAATATTTCTTGAGTGTGATGAAAAACTTTATATTTTTCTGTTTTTTTTTTTTTTAAATTGAATTTTTCTTAACTTCTCTGACTTTTCCTCTTCTAATATTTCCATATAATTTTAATCAATTAATTTTTTGTTCTAATTCGTCTCGTGGAAAATTTTCTATGTCATACCATTTTTTAATATTATTATTATTTCTTAGAGACTAAATTAAGTGAATTAAGTTACTCTATTAAATTAACAGAGTAATCTGCGAAGAAATATGTGCTAAAAGTCAATGAAAGTATGAAAATGACGACGACGATGCATTGTGCAATGAATAATTGTGGGCGCGTTATAAAAATGTCCGAATTCGATTATCTCGGTAATTACAGTCATCCGATGGAAATGTCGAGCTATCCTGAATGAGGTTGTGTTTGAGGACTTTCGGGGAGAAATTGCATTTGCGGATAATGTGTAATTAAGGAGATATTACACCACGCTTTCACAGTATTTAATAACGTTTTGCGTAACCACTGTAAAAAATAATCTAATTGTAAATGGAAATTTTAACACGCGCACTTAAAAATTGAAAATTCGCATCGTGAATTGATTTTCATCAGTGAGAATTGAACTTCTTTTTTCGAACATTGAGCGCTTGATCATAAATTAGCAAATAATTATGTGCATTAATTAATACTAATATTAGTCATTAGATTTCTCAATGATCCTCTAATATGTGGCTAATGTATATGTTAACTGTTTCATCGTTCTAATATCTTGTTGTAATATTAGGTGCTGTCATTCGTAAATTGCCCAGAAAAGCATAATATATAATTGTTCTTTTTCTATCATTTTTATCTATATTTAAAAAATTTATTTAAAAAATTTTTATTAAATTAAAATTGAAATCAATGATGACAACATGATTCTAATTACCTGGCAATCTACGTGTCAAATTGTAGAAGTACTAGATACTTAATTGTGGAAATTTGCACACATGTACATCTAATTGTAAATAAGGCGACGAAAAAGGATTTTTCTTGCTTCATTTTACAATGTGTTTTAAATAGAAAATAAAAATCGACAATAACTCTGGAACATTGCAAATTTTCATGAATAATAATTATTGTAAGTGATGCCAGTACAGTTCCTTTATGTGTATGCATGTGCATCTCGTCCGCAAACATAACGACAAGAGCACGCCAGTACGCAGTAGCGCGCACCGAGCATGTCTTGACCTCCGGGTTTTTCTCGGTTTTGCTCCGCAGTGAGGATTACTACGGTGACCTGGACCTGAAGAGCATCCGGAAGAGCGAGCTGCTTACCGGCATCCAGAGCGAGCCCAGAAAGCCGAACCAGGCGAACCTCAAACCTAGGCCCACAACAATAGGAGGGCCCACGAGGCCCTCACCCATTCAGGAATAAATCCTGATTTACCTCGCTCTTTCTCCCTCCATCCCTTCATCTCTTCACACCTACTCTATCTCTTTCTTTCATTTTCTTTCTACTTCTCTTATTCTTTTTCTCTTTGTTGCTACCATTTAATTTTATCAAATTCTATTGTTTAACGCAAGTTATTGGTCTAAAATCTAGATTGTAAAATTTAAATGTAGCATTCCTTACAAGAAATGCTACTTTTAAATAGTGATTTTCTATTACAATATTCGTTAATGATGAGGGTTATATAATTATGTGAAATAATTATAAAAATAATTCATATAAATATGTGTTAAAAGATTTAGAAAAAGAATTATGTCTTAATTATTTTTTAATAAAATATAAAATGTTAAACGTGCCCTAAACAAAAAATTAATTTTTTTTAATTTTAATACTTTACTTTAATTTCCTATGATAAAAAAATATTCACAAATTTATTCACGTTCCTTTATATATTTTACTTGTTTAATGTTGTTGATTTACTTCGTATTATTTAAATTTATATCGATTTTACGCCAATAAATTGTACCAAAGTACACTTTTTCCTTCTTCTTCTTTTTCTTTCTCTTTTCTTTTCTCTCTTTTTATTTCTTTATCTTGTTCTTCTCTTGCTTCTTTTATGTTTTTCACTCCTTCTCTTTCTTCTTTTCTCTCTCTTTCTCTCTTACTCTCTTTCTGTTCCTTCACGCATAATAAACATACATTCGCATACACATAATCGAGGAAAAATGCAGCCCTGATTACATAAAGAGGATTTCTCCGGAAAGGAAGTAATCGGCGGCCCACAAGGATCGATCTCGAGGCGAAATTTCGGAGCAAAATCCGCGAGATTCTATGAAAGGATGAGAAATGCGAGATCGAGCTGCTTATAAATTTCATGTCCTAATTCTCGCGAAATTCTCTCTCGTCGCTCTGATTGAGCGTCTCCATGCAATCTCGATGCACAGAGCATATGCTATTTTTGTAATTAAAATGTAATAGAAGGAAAGGGACAGAGGTACACGTACAGGACCAATTAGCGCGACGAGTAATTGCGAATTCCGAGAATTCACGTAAAATTCTTTGTTCACTTGTATATGTCACGTTTTGCAATATTACGCGTCGCTATTAAAAAACCTAATAATGTAATCTTTTGGTTGTCAAAACAAGTTTCTGTAAAAACTAGCAAAACTGCCGAAATTAATATAAGTATCTTATTATTATTTTCCAACGTACACATTGCACAGAATTAATTATAGTTTATAATATTTAAAGATTCCCCTTAGGTTAGATAGGATTAAAATCCTGTCAATTTTCTATCGCTGTTGATACCATGTTTAATTGATAATAATAATTGATATTCAGATAGTATAAAATTTTCTCAGAAAATTTCCTGACAAATGCTCACACACAAACACACACTCACACGGACACATAAAGAACTCCAAAATTTATATTAATAATTTATATTACTCGTGACGCCTTATCGGCAATTTTGTTTAATCTATTCTTTTTAATAAATATAAAATTCATTCTCTCTTAACTGCTTCTCTAATCTATCCATACACTTTCAACTATATCTAATCTATCTTTCTCCTGTATTTTTTTCTTTATTGAGAACAAGAATTGAAAACTTGTAATTTCGTAATAATAAAAATGCGACAATTGAGGGCCGTTTTTGCAAAATTGTAAATTTTCTAAAAACATATATATTCTATTGATTACTTATCTATGATTATCCTGTCATTATAGCGATACAGCTACTAATTTATTTTAATGTGATATTTAATTTATTAATTAATTAATCTCAATCTATTTCTAAATAATGTATATAACTATACGGAAATAATCGATAAAATGTATTTCCTGAAGATTTTTACTGTTAAACAGTTGAATTTTGCAAAAATTGTTCTCGATAGGACAACTAAAAAGTTAAATTTAACGAAATTACACGGGTTTTAATTTCTGAATGAGACGCACGATAATTAGAAAAAAGTGAAAAGCATCGATTTTACGTTGCGCATGAAATCAAAATCCATCGGACTCGCGTAATTAACAATCCACGAACCATGATCTACAATTCAGAAATCCTTCTGATTTTTGACGTTATTACGTAAGCAAGATCGGCCGGCTTGTCGTGTATCTTTAAGTAAAAACGAAAAGTCCATATACAATAAAAAAAAGAAAACTCTTGGAAAATTTTGACTCGTATTTTCACCGCATATTTGATGTTGACGTTAAAGTTTCTACTTATAACAATTTCGTTCTATTTCGATCTATTTATGTAACGTTAAAATTGTATTTGATTCTAAGATCTAATTATGCATACTAAAATTGCATAGAATTCTGAAATCTGTTTATTTAATGCTATGATTGCATTGTGTGTCACGTCAGAAAAGAATTAAATGGTTACGTTTGACACTAAATGTGTGGTGAGAATATAAGCAATTTCTCTGTCTATATCCCTCGTGAATCCTATCTCCTAATCCATCGATCGCTAATCATTGACGCATTTCTGCATTTGTAATTCTTAATATATTTAATAGGTTTCTCAGCACATTCTGTATAGTCACTTGTTGCATGTTAAAACTATCGCCTAATGATGTATATAACTTAATCGTAACGTATGCGATGTATCGATCAAAGCCTGTAAATCTTAACTTACTTTAGAAGCTTAAGAACTGGCATCTTAACACGCGTCAAATCTGTATCATCTGTATATATCGAATTAGCTTTATCATAATTATAATTGACGCGGCGATGAAAAAAAATGTACATTATACTCAGAGAGAGAGAGTATATTATACTATTTCATGTACAATGTTATATTTCAACCTTGTCGAATTTCAGATTATTCTTATTTGCCTTAAATAAGAGATAAAAAGAAACAAATAAAATATTTATGAAATCATGTCCGATTTACGTGAAACGTAAGAGAAAACTGACAAGCTAAGATAATGTCAGTGAAATTAACTAAAATGCATGACAACTGTTATTCAAAACCAATTCCTTTGTTTTTGCGCAGATAGATTTTTTTTTATTCTTATAACACAATCTTCATCGAACTCCGTGACTTATGGAGTTACCCACAAGCGAACGGTACGAAAGTGTCAATTTAGTCCCAAGGGCGAACTAAAACCATTCGATAGGGGATAGTAAGGAATAATTATTTCCAGAATAATTCCCTTGTCAGACCCGATTAAATCAGAAATCGTAGAAATATTTACCCGTAGATTTATAGCTTACGCGATTCACGGGGGGTATACTTTGAAGCATCGTGATTCCGATTGAAGGCGATCACACGTTACGATCAAGTTATACGCAACATTTTCATACATTTCCCAGCCAGGACTATTACGGCGACGTGGACCTGAAGGCCCTACGCAAGCTGGGCTACAGGAAATAGAAGCGTTTGCATGCAAGCGTTGCACTCACCGGCGATGAAAACAGCGCGTCCGCCCCCGGGGAAGCCGGCCCCAGAACGACGATCGTCCGCAGACGGAGGGGAAGAAGCAGATGCAACGACGAACCTCCTGCAAATTGTTTTCCATAAAATTAAATTGTCGTCGCCGTGTAAATAAATTAAATCGTTCGCAAAAAGATTTGCGAGAAGATACATCAGAAATACACGTTAAAAGAAGATACATCTGTGTCTGTATTTTTTCTCGCGTTATCCTTAGATTTAATATCTTCTTAAAAAATAATTTAAGAAGAATGTACTTAGGTATCTAAATGTAACTAAATTTACTAAATGATAAAATAATCAGTCACAAGTATATTTTATTTAATAAATACAGCAAGTAAATAATAATAATAATATACATATATATATATATATATATATATATAATTTAAGATAATATAATAACGTAATGAGAGGAATTTTACGTAAATATCTGATCAACATTAAATAATAATGATATTTCATCACCAAGTTATTTTAAAGAATTGAGCAATACAGGGTGTTTTATTCGGCAGCAATTTCGACTTCTTTATTCTAGCGGGTACAAAATTCATTCTATTAGCACCTTCCTTCCACGCTCCATCTCAAGAAAATTCAGTGTTGCTTTTCCGCCAAATAAGCACTTTTGGTTGATCGTTTTTTCCGTTGAAGTAAGAAAAGTACATTTGGCGACTTCTCTTTCTTTCTCTCACTTTAATATCTTAATTAAAATAATGTTATATTAATTTTTTAAGTTATACATATTATAGCAAATTTAGTCATTGGCGTTACTTTGTACCAGCGCACACGTAAAGCTACTACATAAATGTGAAGTTATTTAAAAACATCATTATAAATATATGATCTACTTAATTGTGTTTTAATTTTTATAGAAAAACTGGTATTTTTCTATAAATTTGATTGTTGAAATTGTTAATAAAGTCATAATTTTTTAAAATTTGACGATCGAATTATAATCTATTCATATTTCTAAAGAAATATTTCTAAACAATTTTTTAAAATTCTTTCTATTTACTTATAGATACAGATATTATTTTCGTAAAAAAAGAGGAATATACATGTAAGTCGAAATGTAAGTCGAAAAATATAATATTATAGAAAAGAGTTTCATAGATTAAACTGATGCTTACTTTTACGGTATATTCTGTCTGATTTTGCTATTTTTAATTATGTTTTAGCATAAATTTAAAATTAGTAATGAAATAAGCAAAGCTAGAGCTGTACAATCTCGTAGTTTGGCAAATTAAAAATATTTATACATATTTACAAACATCCCAATAAATAAACTATACTTCTCTTTTTGACCTGTGTGAGCAATATTTCAAACGCTTGTTGAGGTCATTTCTGTATCACATTTAGTAACAGACAGCCTGCAGTACAAGACGGATATAATGAAATTATACCGGAGGACGAAAAATCTAGAGAGTTGTGGTATTATTTCGAAGACTTAGATCACTTAGAAGATTTGCTCACAAAGTACAGAATGTGTGGAAAAGAAATTCGGTCATACGCGGCGTCATATATAGTTATAAAAAATTTAAAAATTCATTTAAAGAATACACATGTAATATTTAATATAAACCCCACCATATTGTACACTCCTACGGCATTATTAAACGCCCTCATCAAATTGTAAG